AGAGATGAGGTCTCGCCAAGTTGCCCAGGCAGGTCTTGAACCCGTGGGCTCAGGCAGTTCACTCACCTCAGCCTCCCAAAGCGCGGGATTACAGACTGAGCCACCGAGCCCGGCTGGTCATGCCGTTTTTGGTCAAAAACTGCTGAACACTAAAGCGTGTTGTGGGCAGGTGTGTTATCATAATGGAAGAACAGTCATGTGTTTGCCACAACTTGGGATGTTTCCTCTGCAAATCGTGATGTAACCTTCTCAAAACTTCCAGATAAAAACTTTGGTTGGCCGGTTGATCTGGAGGAGCAAATTCTGAGTGTACTATAAGGGGCCCACCCTTCAAAAGATAATTCCATTTTTTTTGAGTCCTTCCTTTTTTTGAGTTCTCTCATGTTTTTTGAGTCCTCCCTTAACATTTCCCCCTCTTTATTGCTGGCCTGAGAATACAAAGTATCTTTACTTTCCATTTCGACTGTAAACTTTAATTATTCTACCTTAAAGAGTCTCTTTCTTTTAGATGACTAAGTATTAAAATGATTACTGTGAGCACTAGAGGACTAAATAAAAATCTATCTTTAATTTGCTTGCTTTTTAAAAACTTTATTTTGTTTTAGAATTGTGGGGTACATGTGAGTATTTACTGCATAAATAAGTTGCATAATTTGGTTGCTTTGGAAAGGCTAGTTGTCTAGACTATAGTAGTCTTTTGAATTTACTTATTTGAGAATATCGCGGTTCTTATTTTACTCATTCTTCTTGAAAAGTCTCGGCATTTTGAGTTCCCTACAGCACTTAAAGTAGATAGTACTCAACATTATTTGTTGGTTTGATTTTTTTCTTTCCTGCTGTCTGCCCGTGTTTCCTCAGTATGAAGTGATGGTTAGAAACCTTCACCCGGCTGGGCTCGGTGGCTCAGCCTGTAATCCCGCGCCTTTGGGAGGCTGAGGTGAGTGGATTGCCTGAGCCTGCGGGCTCGAGATCCGCCTGGGCAACTTGGCGAGACTTCATCTCTACAATAAATCAAAATGAGCCGGGCGTGGTAGCGCGTGCCTGTAGTTCCAGCTACTTGGAAGGCTGAGGCGGAAGGATCGCCGGAGCCCAGCAGGTCGAGGCTGCGGTGGCCGGGAGCGGCCACTGCACTCCAGTCTGGGCGACAGAGTGAGACTCCAACTCAAAAAAAAAAAAAAAAAAAAAAAAGAAACCTTCACCCATCATCAGTCATGGTTACATGGTCTGTCTTTCCATTTTTGTGTCTTCAGGTTACCAGAGAGAACTTCTCTATCAGAGGGAAGATGGCTCTTTCAGTGCTTTTGGGAACGACGACCCTGCGGGGAGCACATGGTAAGGGTTTTTGCCAACTGGACGTGTCTGTCACCGAATGGGCTTTCGCGAGGTCACAGTGGCCATGAAACTGACATGTCTCTGTGTTATAGATGGGAGGCTGCTTCCCCACTGCCCGGCTTTAAAAGAGATTCTTCCTTTAAAAAGTGTTTCAAAACATTAACATGTCACCCCTTTTTATGTAGACAGGAAAAGTCATAAATCCTCTTTGTGTGTGTGTGGGAATAGCAGCAATAAAGTACTTGATGATGATGATGGTGATGGTGCAGCTGATAGGAAAAAATGCTTAGAAATACTGGGTGATGGTGACATGGCTTTTTTCTTTTTCTTTTTTTTTACAGTGTAAATACATGTTGTAATTTCTTTTTAAAAAAATTTTTATTCATTATAGAGATGTGGGGTACAATTCAGAGTTAGGTATGTAAATATTGATCATGTAGGTGCCCTCGTGGATGAGGTGTGCCCCTCCCTTCCTTGGCAGTTTCTCTCAACTGCCAATCCCACCCCCACCCCTGACAGTTTCCCACTACTGCCATTCGCTTTCTTATAGTATTATAGTTGTTCAAGGTCACCTTATGAGTGAGAACATACGGAACTCAGTTATTTGTTTCTGTGATAAATCACTGAGTATGATCGACTCCAAATCCATCCAAGTTGCTGCAAAGTCCTTATATTTGTCCTTCTTTATGGCTGCATAGTATTGGCTTTTTCTTAATCTGACATGATTAATATAAGTGCTGTGTTAATGCAGTTCATGTTGTTTCTTTAAGTTGTTTGTGTGTGTGTGTGTGTGAAGAACAAACAGTGATGGAATTAAGTATGAACTTCCAAATTTCTTCCAGACTCGAACTTCCAAGTGGCTGATTTCAGCCCATTAATCTCTCTCCTTATACCTATCTTCCATTTCCTATTTTACTTAGAAAAAGATCGACTGACTGAATCAGGTTGGAGTGGGGTTCCCGTGGGAACTGGCAGCTACTAGGTTGGCTTCTTAGCGAGGGCGTTTCTTCCTCGTGCTGCCTTTCTACTGTGGGTCAGTCAACAGGGGACTCTGGATTATCCTTCAGCCACCACCTTACCTCGTCTCCAGGGAGGCGCCAGGCTTGTCACAGCAGAGAAGCTGGAGGATATGACACTGGCAGTTAGCGATGTCGCCTGAGCGTGTGGCTTCTCCACACTGTGTCATTATCAGGGCTGCTCATGTGACCACACCTAATTCCATGGGGCAGGAAAGTGAGTGCCTCTGGGCACCCAAAGTGAGAGAGAATGGAATATTAGTCATGGTCAGTTAGCAATATTGATATATAAATGATCAAAGAGAAGAACAGACGGGTCACAAAAGACAAAAGTATAGAGAACCTGAACCACACTAAGTGTTACGTAGCCTAAAGCAGACCCACCTCCAGTGTTCTCTTGGCCTGAGCCAGGGTGTCTATCTATCAGTAGAAAGGTTTCTGGGTTTTACTGCTTGAGTTCCTTTTCACCTCAACAGAGTGTTAGCTGCAGGGCCTGGCAGACTTTTTCTCCAAAGGGCCAGAGAGCGCGTGTTGTAGGCATTTGGGGCCAAACGGAGTCTGGGTTTCATATTCCTCCCTCCTTCCCTTCTCTTCTGTTTTCTTTTCTCTCTCCTTTTATGCTCCACTCTTGGGTCCCGGTGGTGGCAGGTGCGGTGTGGGATGGTGCCACATGAGACATGGAGACAGGCCGGGTGCGGTGGCTCATTCCTATAATCCTAGCACCTTGGGAGGCCGAGGTGAGAGGATTGCCTGAGCTTACGTGTTCGAGACCAGCCTGGACAACTTGACGAGACCTCATCTCTGCAATAAATCAAAAAATTAGCTGGGCGTGGCGGCACGTGCCTGTAGTTCCAGCTACTTGGAAGGCTGAGAAGGAAGGATTGCCTGAACCCAGCAGGTCGAGGCTACTCCCAGTGGCCGGGAGTGTGCCACTGCAATCCAGCAGTGGTGACAGAGTGAGACTCCAACTCAAAAAAAAAAAGAAAAGAAAAAGAAGAGACATGGAGACAGCCCTGGGCTGTCTTGGGCTGAAGGCCGGATCTGGTCCAGGTGGACTTGGCTTACAGGGTGTAGTTTGCTGACTGCTTTCCCAGGAGTGAAAGTCTCCATGGGCCCTTGAAGTGCTGCCGTTTGCTGGTGAACCAGACATATGTGCTTCCCCCCAGCTGTGTGACCAAGCCACGTGTGAGTGAGTCCTTCTTTGTAAATACCCGGAGCAGTCCAAAGATAGTAACCCTGGACAACTTGTTTAACTCTCCTGGACTGCCAAATCTCGGTCTATACAACAGTGAGGCTGGATTAGGTAGATTCCTATCCAAATCTGGATTTCTCTGAGTTGGCTGGGACTTCTTGGTCACACACAAGTGAGACCAGCTCCACCTGCTGGGTTCATTCACATCGTCTGGCTCTTTGCTGTTTTTCTTCCCTTTGTTCCTTTTTTGGTGGTTCTGGCTTTGGTGACTCTTGTGATGGAGAAAATGGTGGTGTTGTTTTCATGCTTAGTGTTATTTGGAAAACATTACAAAGTGTATCTTATGTAATTTTCCCTCTTCTCCCTAAAGGTTGTCAGCTTTTGTTTTAAGATGTTTCCTAGAAGCGGATCCTTACATAGATATTGACCAGAATGTGTTACACAGAACATATACTTGGCTCAAAGGACATCAGAAATCCAGTGGTGAATTTTGGGAGCCAGGAAGAGTGATCCACAGTGAGCTTCAAGGCGGCAGTCAAAGTCCAGTAACACTTACAGCCTATATTGTGACTTCTCTCCTGGGATATAGAAAGTATCAGGTATTCAGTCTTTAATTTAGCAAGCGATAGGTGGAAATTCAGGAAAGGTACATCTCAGCGGGTCAAATATGTGTCTGGAAATCTGAAAATTTTTGCGATTTTGCATCCCATTTGAAATTTAATTTGAGCACCCTTTTGCTTTGTATTTGTGGCCATGTTTCAGAATCTAAGGATAAAAGCACTTACACTCTTTCAGAGTGACTAGGATAATTCTAAAAATGTTTTTCTAATATGTATTGTACTTGCTATTGGTGAGATAAGTCAACCCATAACTTACCATTGGAAAAGTTAATTTCACAGGGGAAGAACATTCTTTAGAATTAGAGAATTTGTCTTAGCAAAGGATTTTTTTTTTTCATGGAAACGTCATGGAACAATGATGGGTTCTGTTAAATTTAGTGTACCCTCACTCTGAAAAGCATGTCAGGTGGGTGTGGAAGTGTGGCTGAAAATGAGAGTGCATGGAAAGTTGTGCTGGTGAGCTTGTCCCAAGCTGTCCCACTGATGGATGCCTTTGCTGCTCACTGCCTGCTGCATTTCACACTGTCAGCAAGAGCCCTTCTCTTTATAAAGCTCCTAGCATTTTCCCAGCCTAGTAGTAGGCATCTAGAAGATAAACTTTTCCCTGCATTTAGGGCTTTAACACCCGAGAGAAAATACGAGAAATATCTTTCTTAAGCTATATTTTCTGCTGTCCTCTGAGTTTATGATACTCAGTGGGAGAAACCCTGACAAAAACTCTGTTTCTTATTTCCTTTAAGGAATGATGCCTGTTACTTATAAAAATCGAAAAGCAGTGTTATTTTCAAAACACATGGCAAGTCTTTAAATGTCAATGATCATTGTTGGTTCTCATTGCCTGGGAAAAGGTCAGGTGTTAATAGGCACTGAAATTATTTCTTAAATGAATGTCTTGAAGTATTTTTTGTTTACATACATGGTCGTGGGTTATTTTGAATAGTAAAAAAGTATATTTTTTTCTTCCAAGCCTAATATGGATGTGCAAGAGTCTGTCAACGTTTTGGAGTCTGAGTTCAGTAGAGGCATTTCGGACAATTATACTCTAGCTCTGGTGACTTATGCACTGTCCTCGGTGGGCAGTCCTGGAGCAAAGGAAGCTTTGGATGTGCTGACCAGGAGAGCAGAGCAAGGAGGTAACTGTGGGCCCTGGGCTAGATTTTTCTTTTTAAAAAATTTTTATTATAAAGATGTGGGGTACAACTCAGGGTTAGGTATACAAACGTTGATTATGCAGGTGCCCTTGTTGATGAGGTATGTCCCTCCCTCCCCTGGCAGTTTCCCTCAAATGACAGTCCCCCCCCGACAGTTTCCCATTACTGCCAATCGCTTTCTTATAGCATTATAATTGTTCAAGGTCCACTTATGAGTGAGAACATATGAAACTCTGGTCTTTATTTCTGTGACAGATCACTGAGTATGGTCGACTCCAAATCCATTCAGATTGCTGCAAAGTCCATATGTGTGTACTTCTTTATGGCTGCATGATATTCCATTGTATATATGTACCACATTTTTTTTATCCAGTCCAGCTTTGATGGGCAAACAGTAAACCAGATGTGAAGTTGGTCCCTTTTGCATCTTTTGAATGAGACAGAAAAAGGAGCACAGACTGAGATAGGATGGGCCTGACATGGCCATAGAGCTTCTAGTGTCCCAGTAGTTTGTTTTAATGGAGTTTATTTTAGACACGTTCTGCCCTATGTCATTTTCCCTCTGAGGAACTGGGTCGGGACCAGTTTGGCGGCCTTGCCTTGTGTTTCCAAGACCTTGGGTTCTGGACAGACTTGGGTTAAATTCTGGTTCTGCATTTACCTTATGATTTCAGCTTCTACGGCTGCTGCATGGTGGGAGTGACTCCCATTTTGGAGTTGCTACGAGTATTCAGTGAGATGACAGGCAGTGCCTCTGCAGAGCGAGGTCAAAGTGTGAACTAAAATGCTAATAAAAAGAAATGCAGATACTAGATACCAAAGGGAAGTCAGGAGTGGGTTGTGTACATTTGTTGTTGTTGTTGTTGTTGGAATAAGGACTGCTTTTTTTGTGGCAGGCCAAAAAGTACAGTATCATCACTACCCAGATGGTCTCTATAAAGTGGTCAGGGAGCCCTGTGTGTGTGTGTGTGTGTGTGGTGCGTGTGTGGGTGTGGGTGGGGATGATTCAAAGTTCTGTTAACTCAAGAACTCAAAACATTCCAGACTGGAGCATTTCAGCTTTTTGAATGTATGTATTCTGCAAATATTCCAAAATAAGAAGGAATTTTAAAAAAAGGAAATCTGACACATTTCTGGTCAAACATTTTGGATAAAGGATATTAAACCTGTTAATTTAAGAAGGGATAACTGGAAAGTACTTCGAAGCTTCTGAAACTGTAAAAAGTGTTGTCTTTTTTTTTTTTTTTTGAGTTGGAGTCTTACTCTCACCCAGACTGGAGTGCAGTGGCACACTCTCGGCCCCCGCAGCCTCGACTTGCTGGGTTTCAGCGATCCTTCCTCCTCAACCTTCCAAGTAGCTGGAACTATAGGTGTGTGCTACCATGCCTGGTTAATTTTTGATTTATTGTAGAGACAAGGTCTTGCCAAGTTGCCCGGGCAGGTCTCGAGCCTTTTGGGCTCAGGCAATCCACTCACCTCGGCCTCCCAAAGTGCTGGGATTACAGACTGAGCCACCAAGCCCGGCCAAAAGTGTTGTCTTCTAACCAACAGTCCCTTAGCTTGAGCCCTGATTCCTTACTCCATGCTGGGGACGGAGTTTATTGCACAGAGGCCGAGACGGTCCTTGACATTTGTTCTTCTTGACTTGGCTAAGTGGTAGCTGTTTCTCATTCTGCCCATGTGGACTTGTCAGTGTCATAGTCACATGTGAGAGGCACCGAGCAGGACCCAGGGATGACAGCAGAATTCTCCCTAAGAAGGTTGTTGATTAACCAGGGTCCCTCATTTTATTCTTGGGGACTTGAATCTCAACTTACCCCACCAACTTTCAGCTAATGAAAAAGGAAAAGGCTTCCCAGAATGTCAGAGCTGGTTAATGGCAGACTCCCAGAAAGAGATTCTTTTCAATGTGTCCTAAAATACTTTTGGGACAGCCTGGTCAGATAAGTAATGTACATTATCTCCTGGAATGTAGTATGCTTTTTCTTTTATTTATAGCTGTTTAGTCTTGAACCAAACATATTAAATTTCTCTTGAGAAAAATATTTTCATCAAAATATTGTTAAATATAGGCAGTAGGAAAAGGATGGACATTTACAAATTATACAGGGTGGGCATCCCTGATCCAAAAGTCTAAAATCTGAAAGTCTTCAGTGAGCATTTCCTTGGAGTGTCATGTTGGCACTCAAAACGTTCCAGACTGGAGCATTTCAGGTTTTTGAATGCATGTATTCTGCAAATATTCCAAAATAAGAAGGAAAAAAAAGGAAATCTGACACATTCTTGGTCGCAAACATTTTGGATAAAGGATATTAAACCTGTAATAATTTTAAAAGTGACATACAGATACGTGTGTGTGTGTGTGTGTGTGTGTGTGTGTGTGTGTGTGTGTGTACACATATACTTACTGGATATAAGTATGTGCATGTATAAATATATTTTTTACGCTAGTCAAGTAGAACTTGGACTGGTGCAGGAATAGTTAGTGTTACGAATGTATTTTCTGATAATTGGTCAGAACATTATGACTTTTCTCTTGCAGAAGGCATGCAGTTCTGGGTGTCATCACTGTCCAAGCTCTCTGACTCTTGGCAGCCACGCTCCCTGGACATTGAGATCGCAGCCTACGCCCTGCTCTCCTACCTCCTGCAGTTCCGGGTTTCTGAGGGAATCCCGGTTATGAGGTGGCTGAGCAGACAGAGAAACAGCCTGGGTGGCTTTGCATCTACTCAGGTGAGAGTGAATCATTTATGTTTTCCTTTAAACTGCAGTATGTATATACATATGCACACGCACAAGCATATTTTAGGAAGTATGTGGTTGCTTTTTTCTCATGATTTCATAAAATTACTTGGCAGTTTAAAGTTTAGTAACTTAAATCAATGATTTAAGCCACTCATTTGCATTTTTTCTCATCATTGTTATCAACCGTATCTGAGATTTATAGGCAATAAATCAATCCCTGTCTGTATCCATCATTTTTCATCTGTGGCTGGAAATTGATACAAGAGGACATGCTCCGTTCCATTCAGCAAATCTTTTCTTTCTTTTTTGGAAAGGTAAAACCAAAACTTCTAATTGATCATATGATCACCTATGTGCAAAATTCAGGGCAGTCTACAAAAAAATTTCTAGAACTAGCAAGCGAGTTTAGTAATATTGCAGTATAAAAAATACAAAAAAATCATTGTATTTAAATATACTAACAATAGACAACTGACATCACAATAAAAAAGAGTGCTTATAAAAATGTGAACCGTTAGGAAACAGTCTGATAAAAACTGACAAGGCCTGTACAGTGATCACTACAGAACGTTTCAACAAACATTTTTTAAGCTTCACCTGTCTGTAGGCCAAGAAGATTCCAGATAGAGTCAGGGAGTGTACCACTCTCGGGAAAGGAGATGAACATACAGCAAGCCACCTGACGTTACTAAACTTACCCTTTGGAGGCCTTGACATGTACTTATATGCACAAATGCTTTCCTTTTGTCCACAGGATACCATTGTGGCCTTAAAGGCCCTATCTGAATTTGCAGCCCTGATGAATACAGAAAGAACAAATATCCAAGTGACCACAATGAGCCCTAGCTCACCAAATCCTGTGAAATTTCTGGTTGACACATGGAACCGCTTTCTCCTTCAGACTGCAGAGGTGTGGACAAGGAGTGATTGTGGGCAAATAGTGTAAATGATTCTCTATGCTGGAATGCTGCTTTATTGCTACTCTGCTGACTTTTTGTTTTTATTTTTATTTTTTGATTTGGAGTCTCACTCTGTTGCCCAGACTGGAGTGCAGTGGCAGGCTCACGGCCATCCCAGTCTTGACCTGCTGGGCTCCAGCGATCCTTCCGCCTCAGCCTTCCAAGTAGCCAGAACTACAGGAGTGCGCTACTGTGCCTGACTAATTTTTTATTTATTGTAGAGACGAGGTCTTGCAAAGTTGTTAGGGCTGCTCTTGAGCCTGCAGACTCAGGCAATCCACTGGCCTCCGCCTCCCAAAGTGCTGGAATTGCAGGTTGAGCCACCCAGCCTGGCCTAATATGCTGACTTTAACAAAGACTATTCCCAGAGCTCTGCAGAGGGATGGGGGAAGTGGACTCTTCTTTGGTTGAATTTGCTGAGCTCTAGGTTGGTGGGAATGGGAACTTTGGAAAGATGAGTGGAGAAGGAGAAAACACAGGTGCTGCCATGCTGGGAAAAGAATGAACACTGCTGAGTTTTTCTTCATAGGTACTGTGTTAGATAACCTTACTTATCCTATTGCATTTACTTTTCAAACTAACTCTGAGAAGTAGGTGCCTGCATCCCCATTGTACCTGTGACAAAACTGAGGCTGAGAGAGGTTAAGTGACTTGCTCAAGTTACATTACTAGTAGCGTGGAGCTAGGATTCGAACTCGTGATCCCAAACACTATGTTTGTTTTCAGCTGCTCCGTATCTTCTTGGGAGAATTGATACAGCAATAGTGGAGTTCTTACTTTAAGTGGAATAAGAGAATATGCTAGTCCCTTAATTTTTTCTTTTGGGTAACCTTTTGGGAAGTTGGGGACCATGGACGAAGGTGAGAACGTCAAGACTAGAAACTGAGACCGAGGGACGCCAGCAAAGGAAAAGGAGAAATGACGTTCGGCACAAATGATGCTACTGTGTTCTCAGGAATTCCAGAGGATGATGCCCTGACTCAGGGAGGTCAGGGAGGGAGATACATTTTGCTTCCTGTCTCTCTTGCTTCAGCCCCAACAGGGGGTCAGATTTGCCAAGGGCACTAATGTGGGATGGAGGTGAGGGAGCTTGGCGAGGGTACACTCACTGCCTTTTCCTGGCTGACCTGCCTGACCGTAGCTTTTGATGTGTGAGTTCTAGCAAAGCTCTTGGCACGACTAGTGACTGCCTCCCCTCCCCTTGAGGGATGGCGCTGATCTATGTGCTACTTGGATGGATCTAGATATGGGAAATTAGCCCCATTAACTTTTTTTTTCACCTTTATTTAGCTTGCTGTGGTACAGCCGATGACAGTTAATATTTCCGCAGATGGTTTTGGATTTGCTATTTGTCAGGTATGTCATAATGTTCATTTTAAAAGTTAAATATAACTTTTTATAATGATTCTTTTGCTTAGGGCACTGCTGTATCTTTAACTTAGGTAATTTAAATAAAATTGTAAATGATGTGCTTCTATGACAGGCGAGACACATCATTCTCTTTAATGCAGAGTATTAGAGATGTTACCAGCCAGTGAATAGACGGCAATTATATGGATTGATTACCTATTTGAAAAATATTTCTTGGGGGATTACATGTTTTGGAAGTGAGAGTTAAAATCCTCCAGAATAATGCAAATGAATTGTTGGGAACTCCCACTGTTTTTAAAAATGAAAATGTAATTTAGAAATTAAAATTGCTGGCAGTGTTTCTACTATGACCTGATAAGCAAATATACATTTTAATTGCAACTTCTTAATACTGATTTAAGAACGTAAAGGTCAGCATGGTAATATAAGTTTTTGACTTGAATATAGGAAATGTGTCCCTTTAATGTAAAAGTAAATATAACAATTAGAGCATGATTATGTGCAATGTTTTGGTACAAGAAGAAAATAACTTTTTATGGTGCAGTAGGATCGACTATAAAATGAAACTAGTATGAAAAATACTGAATAAAATCATTATTATACTAAATAATAAAAATCTTAAGGACTTTAAAATCATCTTATTGGAAACTCATCTTATTGGATATTAAAGGCAATATGTGATAGGACCAAAAATGATTGTGACGTGAGTAGGAAAAAACAATCAAACCTTGAACCTTTACTGGTAAGTAACGAAATACCCATTGTGGAGGAAGTGTACTTTTTCACAAACTGGCACAATCACTCATCTTAGCAAGGACGGGGCACTTACCAAGCAGGCAGGTTTGGTTGCTAAACTGGTGTAATTTAGAAACTTCCACACAATTCTAAGATTATTTTGCATGATAATCAAAACACAGTGAACATTTTTTAAAAATCGAGGAAAAGTGACCACAATGAAAAGGACAGTGCAAATGATAGAAAGAGAAGGTGAATCATTTATATTGGTCTTTCTTAACAAAGTCCATGGGAAAATTCTTGTCCCCATGCTGTCTTTCAATGAAGAGAGCAAATCCAAAATAAAATATACAGCATATTTTGGATACAATTGAAAAATTGTGTATACTTACATCACCAAGTTGGCTGGAGTTCATTTTTGGTAAACCAAACGTAGATAAGTGACTAAAACCGAATGATTTGGACTTGAAGTTTGAAGGACGCAGGGTCAGAATGTCCACCAGTCCCATTCTGTCTCAAAAATACAGAAAACAAAAGGTAGGAACTGAAAGGCACTTCTTAGGATAGAGGAAAAAATTGCAAAAACGTTGGTTACCCAGAAATGGGTATTGGAATTTCCTTCAGCTGACATGCTTATAAGTGCTCTGGAAGAGGAAAGCAGTAAACATTACCCTCTTTTGGATAATAACATGCTAAGTGAAAGGAAATAAATGGCAAGATCTTTTGACATTCTTTGAATGAATAGTTGAGTTTTGCTGCGGGCCAAATGGAAACTCTAGTACTTAGTTATAGTTGGTATTGATTATGGCTCCAGGGAAAAAAATCTAGTATTCCTTGTTTGTTTCCTGATGATGTTGGTCTCTAAAGGAACAATTGCATGCCACTGGGAAGGGATTGATAAGAATCAGAGAGAGACTCTCTGTCCAATTGTACGAACTGTCCTTCCACTGCTCCAAACATACTCTACAATTTTCTGTTTTATTTTAAATTCAGAGGGTAGGTGTACAGATTTGTTACATGGGTTTATTGTGTGATAGTGAGGTTTGGGCTTACGCTGAACTTGTTACCCAAATAGTGAACTTGGTACACAGTAAGTTTTTTAGCCCTCCCCCACCACCGCCCCACTTTGGGAGTTCCCAGTGTCTGTTCTTTTCTTTATGACTGTGAGTATCCAGTGTTTAGCTTCCACTTTTAGTGAGAACATGTGACGTTTGATTTTTTGTTTCTGCGTTAATCTGCTTAGAACAGTGATCTCCAGCTGCAACTATGTTGCTGCAAAGGACATGACTTTGTTCTTTTTTATGGCTGTGTAGTATTCCCTAGTGTGTGTGTATCATATTTATTTATCCAGTCCACTGTGGACAGGCACCTAGATTGGTTTCATGCTTTTTACTACAGTGCTGCAATAAACATGAGTGCAGGTGTCTTTTTGGTAGAACAATTTATGTTCCTTTGGGTATAAAACCAGCAGTGGCATTGCTGGTCGAATGGTAAATCTATTTTTAGTTCTTTGAGGAATCTCCAAACTCCTTTCCACAGAGGCTGAAGAAGTTTGCATTCCCAGTGGTTTATGAGCATTTTATTTCCTTTTCCAAAACCACAACTTCCCCAACGTCTGGTGTTTTTTTACTTATTAATAATAGCCATTCTGACTGCCATGAAATGGTATCTCATTGTGATTTTAATGTGCTTTTCTCTGATGATTAGTGCTGTTGAACTTTTTTTATGTGTTTGTTGGCCACTTGTATGTCTTCTTTAGGGAAGTGAAGTGTCTGTTTATGTTTTTTGCTGACTTTTTATAGTTTTTTTTTTCCTGTAGGTTTGCTTAAGTTCCTTATAGATTCTGGATATTAGTACTTTGTCAGATGCACAGTTTGCAAATATTTTCTCCCATTCTGCAGGTTGTCTATTGACTCTGTTGATGGTTTCTTTTGCTGTGCGAAGGCTCTTTTGTTTGATTAGATCCTACTTGTCAATTTTTGTTTTTGCTGTGTTTGTTTTTGAGTACTTGGCCATAAATTCATTGCCTAGACCATATCTGGAAGAGTGTTTCCTAGGTTTTCATCTAGGATTTTTATAGTTTGATGTCTGGCATTTAGTCTTTATTCCATCTTGAATTTTTTTAATATATGGTGAGAAGTAGGGGTCTAGTTTCATTATTTTGCATGTGATTAGACAGTTTTCCCAGTATACTTTATTGAATAGGCTGTCCTTTCCTCATTATTTGTTTTTGTTGATTTTTTTCAAAGATCAGTTTGTTGTAGGTGAGAGGCTTTATTTCTGAGTTCTCAATTCTGTTCCATTGGTCTTTGTGTCTGTTTTTGTGTCAGTTCCATGTTGTTTTGGTTACTGCAGCCTTGTAGTAAAGTGAGCAGTATGGTAATGTGATGTTTCTGGCTTTATTATTTTTGTTTAGAATTGCTTTGGCTGTTTGGACTCTTTTTTGGTTCCACATAAATTTTAGATTTGTTTATTCTAATTTGGTGAAAAATGACACTGGTAATTTGATGGGGATTGTATTGAAACTGTAGATTGCTTTGGGCAGTATGAACATTTTAATAATTATTTATTCTTCCAATCTATAAGCATGAAATGTTCTTCCATTTGTTTGAGTCATCTATGATTTCTTTCAGCAGCGTTTTGTAGTTCTCATTGTAGAAGTCTTTCATCTACTTGGTTAGATGTATCTCCATATAGTTTATTATTGTTTTATTGGCTGCTATAAATAGGATTGCATTTTTGATTTTGTTCTCAGCTTGAACCTTGCTGGTGTACAGAAATGCTACTGATTTTTGTACATGTACTTGGTATCCTGAAACTTCGCTGAAGTAATCAGGTCTTGGAGTTTTTTGGCAAAATCTTTAGCATAGAGTTTTCTAGATTTAAAATTATATTGTCTGTGAAGAGAGATAATTTAACTTCCTCTTTTCCTATTTGTGTGCCTTTAAATATTTAAGTCTTTATTCCTTCTTGAGTTATTTTTTATATATGGTGAGAGGTAGGGGTCCAGTTTCTTTTCTTTCTTTTATCCTTTGATTTCTTTCTCTTGCTTGATTTTTCTGGTTAGGACTTCCATTGCTAGGAATTCCATTGCTGTGTTGAATAGGAGTGGTGAAGAGTGGGAATCCTTGTCTTGTTCCAGTTCTTAGGGAGAATGCTTCCAGCCTTTCCTTATTCCGTATGATGTCGGCTGTGGTTTGTCATAAATGGTTCTTCTTATTTTGAGGTATGCTCCTTCGATTCCTAGTTTGTTGAGGGTTTTTATTGTGGGCAATGCTGGATTTTATTGACTGCCTTTTCTGCATCTATTGAGATGATCATATGGTTTCTGTTTCTTAGTTCTGTTTATGTGGTGAATCACATTTATTGTTTTGCATATATTGAACCAACTTGTATCCCAGAAATAAAACCCACTTGATCTTGGTGAATAATTTCTTCGATGTGCTGCTGGATGCAGTTTGCTAGTATTTTGTTGAGGACTTTTACATCTATTTTCATCAGGAATTGTAACATCACCTTTGTCTTTTCTGATTGTGCTTATTTACATCTTCTCTCTCCTCTTTTTTGTTATTCTGGCCAGTGATCTATCAATCTTGTTTATCCTTTCAAAGAACCTTGGATGATCATTTGCATTTTAAAAAATCTCAGTTTCATTTAGTTCTGGTCCGATTTTGTTTATTTCTTTTCTTCTACTACCCTTGGGTTTAGTTTGTTGTTATTTTTCTAGTTCCTTGAGGTGTGATGTTAAGTTGTTTATGTGAGATCCTTCTACTTGATGTGGGTGTTTACTGCTACAAACTTTCCTCTTAACAGTTCTTTTGCAGCATTCCAAAGGTTGTGGTATGATGTGTCTGTATTTTCATTTGTTTCAGATACTTTTAAAATTTCTATCTTGATTTCATTTTTTACCCAAAAATTATTCAGGAGCAAGTTGTTTAGCTTACTTGTATTTGTGTGGTTTTGAGAGTTCCTCTTGGTATTGATTATTTTTATTTTGCCATGATCTAAGAAGATGCTTGGTGTGATTTTGATTTTTTGGAATTTATTGAGACTTATGACTTATTTATTGAGATTGTTTTATGACTGAGCTTCTGATTGCTCTTGTGCAGGCAAGAAGAATGTATTTTTTGGTTGTTGGGTAAAGTGTTGTATGGATATTTATTAGGTCCAATTGGTCAAGTGTCAAATTAAATAGAGAATTTCTTTGTTAGCTTCTTGTCTTGATAATCTGTCTACTGCTGCTTATGGGGTGTTGAAGTTCCTCACTATTAATATGTGACTACCTAAGTCTTCTAAGTGTCTATCTCTTAGGTCTAGTAGTAATTGTTTTAAAATCTGGGTGATCCACTCTTGCGTGCATATATATTTGGGAATGTTGAGTTTTCTTGTTGGATTAAACCTTTTATCATTATGTAGTGCCCTTCATTGTCTTTTTGTTTTTTTTTCTTACTGTTGTTGGCTTAAAGTCTGTTTTATCTGGTATAAGAATGGTGACCCCTGCTCTTTTTTGTTTTCCATTTGCGTGGTAGATCTTTCTTCATCTTGTTATCTTGAACCTGTGGGTGTTGTTAGAAACCTATGAGATGGGTTTCCTGAAGACAGCAGAAGGATGGGTCTTGTTTTTTGTTAAACAATTTACTGCTCTATGTCTTTTAAGTGGAGCAGTTAGGTCAATGACATTCGAACTTAACATTGGTACATGAAGTTTCATTGCTATCATAAGTGTTGTTAGCTAGTTGCTTTGTAGTCTCAGTTGTGTGGTTGCTTTATAGGAACCGTGTGCTGTGTGTTTATGTGTGCTTTTATGTCAGGTGGTATTGTTTGTTTGTTTCCATGTTTTAGAACTCCCTTAAGGCTGGTCTGATGGTGATGAATTTTCTTAGTGATTGTTGTTTGAGAACGACTGTTTTTCCTTCATTTATAAAGCTTAGTTGGGTGGGATAAGAAATTCTTGACTAGTATTTCTTTTCCTTAAGGGTACTAAAAATGGGCCTTCATTCTCTTCTGGCTTAAAAGTTTTCTCCTGAGAGGTCGACTTTAGTCTAATGGGTCTCCTTTTGTAGGTGATAATGACTTTTCTCTCTAGTTGTTTTTAAGATGTTTTCTTTCATGCTAACCTCAGATAGTCTGGTAACTGTGCCTTGGAGATGACTGTTTTGTATAATATCTTGTGGGCATTCTCTGAATTTCTTGTATCTGCATACCAACCTCTCAAGCAAGACTGGGGAATCTTCTGACTTATGTCCTCAAATACCTTTTCCAAGTTGTTTCCATTTCTTCTTCTCAGGAATGCCTGTAAGTTGTAGGTTTGGTCTCTTTACACAATCCCCTGATTTTAAAGACTTTGTTCATTTTTAAAAATTATTTTTTCTTCGTTTTCGTCTGACTGCATTGATTCGAAGGTTTGGTCTTCAAGCTCTGAAATTCTTTTGCTTAGTCTCATCTGTGGTTAAGGCTTGCGACTGTGTTTTGAAATTCCTGAGGTGAATTCTTCAATTCCAGAAGTTCAGTTTGGTTTTTTCTTAGTATGGCGTGTCATCTTCCAATTCTTGGATCATTTTCCTGGCTTCTTCATCTTGGCTTTCCGATTTCTCTTGGATCTTGTTGAGTTTCTTTGCCGTCTATATTTGAATTGTATATCCATAGTTTCAGACAGTTAGTTCTGGTTAGGTTTCATTGCTAGGGAGCTGATGCAGTCCTGTGGAAGTGACTCTGGCTTTTGATATTGCCGGAGCTCTTGTGTTGGTTCCTTCTCATCTGAGGGAGCTGACACTTTAAAAAAATTTGCGGCTGGGCTCGGTGTCTCGGTCTGTAATCCCAGCACTTTGGGAGGCCGAGGTGAGTGGATTGCCTGAGCCCGCGGGTTTGAGACCCGCCTGGACAACTTGGCGAGACCTCATCTCTACAATAAATCAAAAAATTAGCCAGATGTGGTAGCGTGCGCCTGTAGTTCCAGCTACTTGGAAGGCTGAGGCGGAAGGATCACCGGAGCCCAGCAGGTGGAGGCTGCCACTGCACTCCAGTCTGGGTGACAGAGTGAGACTCCAACTCAAAAAAAAAAATTTGCTATTGTTGGGATGGGACTTCTTGATATTTTTCTTCTTTGTTTTCTCATAGGATGACTGTGGTGTATGTTGTGTATGGTCAGTTGGCCTCATTTCTGGGTGCTTTCAGAAGGCCAGTGCTCTGTAGGGGTTCGTTGGTTGCAAGCACGTTGTGTGTTAACTATCCTGGACCATGGTTATGACATGTGCTTTTGTTGAGGATGTAGTCCAGTAAATGGCACTTAAGAGTGAAAGCTGGTGGATAGGCTGTCCATGCTGGGGGTACCAGGAAAAGTGCAGTAATTACCCTCTTACTCATGTTTGCATTTGGAGGGGCTGGGACCCTGGAGAAGCATGATAATCTGCTTCTTTCCACATGGCTTCCTATCTTCCAACGGAAAAGCCACCACCATTTTCACAACTTTGCACTGGGGAGGGGAGAGAGTGAGAGAGAAGACCCCTCTCTGAGTCCATTTCCTGGCATTGGTGCAGCTTCCTTCGCAAGCTGGCCTACGCCCATGTCTCTCTTGCCCTGGGGGTCAGGGGTCTTGGGTGGGCGGCACTGCTGCCCTCCCAAGGGGTCTGTGTTGAGGATAGATCTATAGAGGGCCCATTGTTCTCTGGGGACCTGCTATTCCTATGTGATTGCCAGAGACAGGGTGGGTTGTGGGGGCATCTGCAGGTGACATGGCACAGTGGCTCACAGGTGGATGATCACATGGGAGGGCAGTGGCCCTGCAGTGGGCAGTCAGTGTGTCACCCATGTCTGGACCTGGATCCAAGTGCAGTGCAGTTTGGCTGCACAGTGGCCCTGGTTTTCTACTTTCAGGAAGGTCTCCACCACCACTCATGGTGCTGTCCTGGGTCATGGGGGCAGAAGGCTCTCCAGGTATTCAGCAGGTTGTTGGTGACAGGGATGAAGATCCCTCCCCTTCCTCCCAGCTGACTCTGAGCTCCTTGAGGGTCAGTTTCCAGACCCTTACTGCTTTCCTTTTCTCTACATGCCAAGCCTACCCACGTGGGTGCCCTGGGACTTCCAGTTTCCTGTTCTTCCATCTTCTGCTTGAAACTTCAGCATTCACTAGCAATCTCCATCTTCCTTCTGAGGAGAACTGACGTGCGATGCCCCTAGTCAGCCAACTTGAGGGGGAAAAGTATAATTTTAATTATTATAGCTGAAGAAATAGTTGACAAATGACCAGAGAGAGCCAGAATGGTCAAGTGAATGAAGAGGGATTATATGAGTTTGGGTTGTGCAGAAAAAAGAGTGGAACTCTTAGATTTGAAAGGTGAAGGCTTTCTAGAGAGAGAATTTTTTAAATAATATAACTCCATGAAGGCTACTAAATGTTTGGTCCCGAGGTGTGTGTGCATATGTTTTTCGGAATAAGTAAAAGAAAATACAATATTACATAGCAGGAGTAACTTTGTGACCCTTGGTATCAAAAAAAGGGAGCAAAGTAAAACTTTTAAATAGGTACCACCCCATCCTGGGGCTAGGCTGGCCTAGGGATGTTGAGTTCCTTCCTGAGCTTCTGATGTCAGATCCCTTTGAGAAAGATGTGGTCCTCAGGCTGTCCCAGTGTCCCTGTCACAACTTTAGTGTTAGTGATGGGTACAGAGTATATGCTGAAAAAGGCCCATTTGACTTGAAATCTGTCCTTCATTTTGTCATCTTTGAAAATTGTTATATGATCAGAAAAAATCCTCAGTGGTTTGAGCAAGTTTCTGTTCAACGGAGGCTCTTAGGTGTTTAGCTTTGATGAATCTTGAGTTGCTAAGCATTCAGTTTGTGAAAAACGACCCCATTTGGGTCGTTAGAAAGATGCTCAGCTTAGAAGATGCTGAGTGCTCTCAGGGAAGTTGGTAGTGGTTCTGCTCTCCTTCACAGGAATATTTACAGTATTTGAAAAGCAATTTCCCCTGAGTAGTACCCATTGTGTTCTGTAGTTCTTGTTTTGGAATATTACCTAACAAATTTCTCAATTTTTAAAATAATTTTTTTTTAACCTGGAATCATCTTTTATTTTATTATAGAGATGTGGGGTTAAAATAATTCTTATAAACTTTTATAATGTTTGTGAACAATAATACTTTGCTAGCCAGTAAGATGAACTTTTTAATAATTTGAGGATGAAAAATCTAATTGAGTTTATCCCACAGAGAATTGTTATCTAATCCAGTACGTAGAATGCATGATGATGGCGATGTATTGCCGATTTATTATTTTTGCTAATTTATTTATTGCAGCTCAATGTTATTTATAATGTGAAAGATTCTGGGTCTTCTAGAAGACGAAGGTCTGTCCAAAGTCAAGAGGCCTTTGACCTTGATGTTGCTGTGAAGGATAATGAAGGTGATGCTGATCATGTGGAATTGAATGTGTGCACAAGGTGAGTGTCTATTCAGGTCTCTCTTCTTCCTCCTTTTTGCCCTTTAAAAAATATCTTTAAAGATTTAATTGGCTGGGCCTGGTGGCTCAGCCTGTCATCCCAGCACTTTGGGAAGCCGAGGCGAGTGGATTGTCTGAGCCTGCGGGTTCCAGACCTGCCTGGGCACCTTGTTGAGACCTTGTCTCCACATTAAATAGAAAATTAGCCAGGCATGGTAGCATGCACCTGTAGTTCTGGCTACTTGGAAGGCTGAGGCAGAAGGGTCCCCAGAGCCCAGCAGATCCATGCTGGGGTGGCCGTACCCCTGCATTCCAGCCTGGGCGACAGAGTGAGACTCTGACTCAAAAAAAAAAAAAAGATTTTTATTATATTTAGTTGTCTAATTATATCAATACAATAAGTTACATTTAACAAAGAACTCAGTTGTGCATTACACTTCAGATTACAAACTAGAAATGCTAATTATACTTAAACATGTATTAGATATGTCCAAAAATTATTCATTTGTTTTCCTTGTATTTATAACAAATTTGAATAGAATAGTATATAAATTAGTAAAACTTAGGTCTAACGTAAGAAAACTTACGTTTTCTTCAATCATATTTTATATACTCTGGTTATTTCTTGACGTAACCTATTTGTTAAAATAATTATTTCAGATTTATATTTAACCGTAGCTATTATGCATTCCACCCAAAACTTTATGAGAACATGCAAATTCATTGAAGAGAACAGTTTTCCTAGATAGGCTGAAACTATTCTAGTTAGGCAGGTTGTTGTCTTGGTGAATTGGCCGCCGATGGCCACAGCGTGTGGGAATGCTTGGTAAGCCATCCTTCAGCTGCTTTGTACCCAGAATCTGAGGACATTCACAGGGGCAGAGATTTCTCTCAGCCCCATGACCTAGCAGTGGGCTGTGAAGCTGCAGCTTTTTGATCATCCCTGCGACATGCAAGCTTGAGAACACTCCTTGTGAAAGCTCATGAGTCAAGAAGCTTTACAAATTTTTCCTTGGTAATCTAACCTCTTACCTCTGCATCACTTGTCCTTGAGCTGGGACTTGCTGTAAAATGCCTTGATATTGAGGAGCTGCTGTCTGCTCTTTCAAAACATCTCACAGTATTCTCGTTTGTCTTAGCCTGTGCTGGCTAGAAGATACGATGTGGCCCAGATCCCTTCAAGATCCTCTCTGGTGTCTGTCCAGGTGGTTGGCCTTGTTAACCACCACCTTCACCTGTCTCCTCCATGACTGCTACTGTCTGTATTGTCTTTGGACCTTTATGATCATGACTTTGGATAAATTGTCACATGTCTGCCTCACTGCCTACCTTCTTGGGCATTTGGGCCACAGCAGGTGGATATCAGAATCTCCACAGTATCTCCACAGTGTTAGCCAAGGAAAAAAGCAGGGCTTCAATTATTCTCACTCACCTTGCATTTTGTCTCTGTTCCAGGAGAGCAACATCAAGTCACTATTATTATTATTATTATATTATTATTATTACAAACAACAACCAATGTGAATCACAAGCTTACATGCCAGACACTGTACCAAACACTGTACGTGCATCTCATTTAATTCTTACAATAACTCTATAAATAAGTGCTACTGTATACCCTGCTTTTTTCATTCATTCATTCATTTATTCCTTCACTCAGTAAACATTGGTTGAGTCTCCACTGTGTGCCAGGCATGGTGTTGAGTGTGAAAATATTGTGGTGAGCCAAAAAAGACACCAGCCCTGCCTTCATGGAATTTGCTGTTTGAGGGCAATACAGAAATTAATTTTGACAATCCCTAAGCAAGTCTAAAATTATAGTTTCAAAAAAGGGCAAAGAAGAGACTCAGGGAGTTATGAGAGGGGGATTTTTACCTCTTAGGGGTCAAACGGAGAAACATGAGAAAATGAAGTGGAATTGAATTGGGATCATAAAATGGCCTGCTAATCTGTGGCCTCATGTAGGGGTGCAGGCCGCCCAGGGTTCATCTGGCAGCAGGCATCGTGTAGACAGCGGCCTTGATTGGCAGGTAGAACCTGGAGAAATGCTTTCATGTGAGGGCAGGGGTTTGTAACAGGGACAAAACACTGCTGCTAATTTTCTGGGGGGAAATCTGATACGAAATACAAATGGCATTTAAGTGAACTTTTTCAGCAGTACATTATACAAAGATCAGGTATGCTACTTCTTCAGCAGGGTCTAAGACCTTCCCTTGTGGAAGACTTTCTGTGCGGTGCTGTAGTTTCACTGTAGAGAGACCATGGCATGTCATAAATGCACTGAAAGTATAACCTGCATTGTACTTCTGAGGATTTAAGCGTTCTGACTGTTTTTCTCCTCTGTAATTTTTGCCCATATGCAAACATCTCTAGTTTTCATCCCAGTATCAGTCTCTGTGGCCTCTACTTTGGCTAGGTGTGTCTCCTGGCAGATGGTTTTGGTTGCTCTGGTCTATGGAGCTGGCTAAAGTCAGCCATTGTGGTGTAAGGCTCTCCCATCAGTCGTGTCTGGTAAACTTTCGTCCGCTGCTCCAAAAAGCAGGATTTTCCAACGACTCTTCTTGCTTCTGCCATCTGAAAAGATAATAGGAACTAACTCAGGGCTATAATTCTTTTGTGTTGGAGGCAGACTTCTTTCTTTAATCAAGCTGGGCTCTTTCTGCTCCCAATGAAAACTCTTGCCACCTTTTCATTGCGAAAAAATACTATTTTCAAGGCAACAAATGTGGGGAGCACCCAGATTTTCTGATACTCACGTTGTGTATAACAGGGCAGAGAAGAGTGCAGTGTAATGAGACCTTCCAGGGTTTGTGATTCTCTCAGCGTGGCCAATGAAAATACAGAGTGAGCCGGGCTCGGTGGCTCAACCTGTAATCCTGCGCCTTTGGGAGGCTGAGGTGAGTGGATTGCCTGAGCCCGCGGGTTCGAGACCCGCCTGGGCAGCGAGACCTCATCTCTACAATAATTCAAAAAACCAGCCGGGCGTGGTAGCGCATGCCTGTAATTCCGACTACTCAGAAGGCTGAGGAGGAAGGATCGCTGGAGCCCAGCAGATGAGGCTGCGGTGGCCGGGAGCAGCCACTGCACTCCAGTCTGGGCGACCGAGTGAGACTCCAACTCAAAAAAAAAAAAAAAAAAAAGAAAATACAGAGTGAGCTCCAACTGTGAGGGAGAGAAGAGGGAAGGCCTTTCCCTACTGAAATCATGAAGAAGAGGCGTCTAAGACCTTGGCCAGAGTCTATTGTTATGTGGCCAGTGGTGTCACCTCAGCCCCTGCCTTTCAGCGGGGAAGTATGGTGCTGTCAGCTTTTGAGAAAACTTTAAAAAATGCAGTTTGGTTTGGAATCTCCACTAGAAGACAGAGCTGTCTGTTGAACAGACGTGGGTTGTGCCTGTCACAACTGACAAGCCCAGGCCTGTCACGCTGCTGGCATTTCCGTCACACAAACACTGTCACACCTGGCTGAAAGTTACAAGAATTTCATGCGTGTAGAAAAAGAATGACTTGTTTTAAAATTCTCTAGTGTGGATTTGACTGGAATGCAAACAGTATTTCCAGTAACATTTGGCAGTTTTAATTTCTCTCTGAAGATGAGGATTTCCATAAAGGTTTTTTTCCTTGGGTCTCTCCCTCCCTTTTATCTTTTATCTAGGTTCTTGGGCCCAGCGAGGAGTGGAATGGCCTTGATGGAAGTCGGCCTGCTCAGTGGCTTCACGGTGCCTTCAGGTGCGATTCCTCTGAGCAAGACGGTGAGGAAAGTGGAACACGATCATGGAAAACTCAGCCTCTATCTGGATTCTGTGAGTAGCAACCCCTGCGTCCGGGAGGTAACTGGACAAAGCAACTACGCATTGTGTGCATGCATCCCTTATTTAATTAAGTGTGAGTTCTGTAAGTCATTGTTATCTCAGCTTTTTGTGTCTCTGAATGAATTTTAGCTTGGCCACCATATATTTGTCTCCACTAAGAAGGCATCACTATAAAATCCTTATAACAGAATCATTATTCCATGTCCGATATAAAATACATAGGAATTTCCATATTATGATTTCAGAAATTCAGTCCAGATCTCACTGAAGATGAAAGCTTTAATTATACGTTTTAGAATACTCTTATGAAACTTTGACAAATCCCCAAGGGATTAGTAGTCCTGCCTTGAAAAGTTAGGTGCTTAAATAATAGAGGCATATTCCCAGAGGTTTGATCTTGACACAGAGTTATTATACAGCCTTCATTACTCGTTCACGCTGTGTGAGTTCTACTAATGTGAGAATTAAGTCTGTACAATTGGGAGGCAAAGTTCTGTGGAGAATCCCAGAGTCTGCCTGACATCCCAGAATTGTTGGTAAGTGTGTTCTTTCCTGCTGTCATCCTTGTTTGTCTCATGGGTTTAGTCTATGCTGAGTTCTGAGTGTTCTTAGGGTTTCATGGAACATGGGGAATATATAAGTTCCTTATCCGATTTAGCTAAGTGTGAATCACAAATATACGGCTAAATATCTACTTTTAGAACATCTAGTTTCTGATGTTCTAACTTGTTTTAGTACTTTAAAACTGCTCTGGTTATAACCTTGTTAAAACCAACTTAGTCTCTATATTCCTTTGCTCTTCAGGAGTTTTTTAATATTAAATACTGTTTGAAAGCCTGATGTGGAAGTTGAAAAATAAGTTTAAGGTTTTTACTTAGTCGTGTAATAGATTTTGGGGCTTGTTTTTTTTTAATCACTGATGGTCTTGGTAATGGTGATCTTAATTTGAATGTCCAATACTTTGTGATTAATTTGACTTTTCATTTACTGGTATTGGCAAGTAATAAAATATTGGAAGAAATTCCCTAATTTCTGATTCCATTACCAGTCGTTTGCCAAATTGGCAAATATGGCCCTCCTGGAGGCAGGGAAGCCGGCCTTGTGTACCCCTTGTTAGTCATTGGTGTGGGGTACTCCCTGTATCTCAGTCTCCTCACTTACTGGGTGACACGGCTCCCCTAAGTGGAGGGAGATTCTCAAGAGAAGGGCTGTGCAGGCCTTGGTGGCAGCCAGGGTGGGGTGCGCCACTTGTGATAGGGCATCTGGGTGAGGTCCCAGGCCCCAGGAGTGTGCCCATCAGGTTTGCTGCTTACTTAACAATTCTAATTCTCAATCTCCCCTTCAGCAAGATGGAACTAAGACCAATACCTTCTAAGGTTTTTGTACAAGTTAAGCAAGGTAATTAATAGAAAGCACTTAATACAGCACCTGGCATGTGATATGCTCCCTAAATACTAGTTTCTGTCTGTTTCTTTTCTTTTTTTTTTTGGAGAGACGAGGTCTCGCCAAGTTACCCAGGCTGGTCTTGAACCCAGGCTGGTCTTGAACCCATGGGCTCAGGCAATCCACTCACCTCGGCCTCCCAAAGTGCTGAGATTACAAGATGAGCCACCGAACCCTACTGTTTCTTAAAATGATGAGAGGGGGAAAAAAGAAATACCTCTTACTTTATCATGAACACACAGTGTGCCAACCCCTTAAGAGTCTTTTGTGTTTTTCAAGGTGAACGAAACCCAGTTTTGTGTTGATATTCCTGCTGTGAGAAACTTTAAGGTTTCAAACACTCAAGATGCTTCGGTGTCCATAGTGGATTACTACGAGCCACGTAAGTGCGTTCTGGAGTTCCTAGTACTTAGAAGTTAAGCCACGTATTCATTCATTCATTCAAAGTGGCCACCTGTTGGGTTGGTTTTATTGGGAGCTGCTAGGGGAAAGTGAAGAGGAGTGCAGAAGACGAGCTTCCATGTAAATGAAGACACTGATAATTGAAATGTGAGCACATTTCGCACTTGAATATTTTATCTTTTTATATTTTATTTTATTTTAAAATTGTGTGGTACAATTCAGGGTTAGGCATACAAAGATTCATTGTGCAGGTGAGGTGTGCCTCCCCTTCCCCAGGCAGTTTCCTATGACCGCCAATCCCACCTCCCCACCCTCCCATGCCCCTAAGTTTCCCACTACTGTCAATCCTTTTCTTATAGTATTACGATAGTTGTTCAAGGTCCACTTATGAGTGAGAACATGTGATACTCAGTTATTTGTTTCTGTGAAAGATCACTCAGTATTATAGACTCTGAGTCCATCCAGGTTGCTGTGAAGTTCATGATTTTGTTCTTCTTTACGACTGTGTAATATTCCATTGTGTATATGTACCAAATTTTTAAAAATCCAGTCCTCTTTTGATGGGTAGCATGGTTGGTTCCATGTTCTTGCTGTTGTGAACAGTAGCACGTGAATATTAAAAAGTGATGATTTTGCCCATAGTGTTTTAGGTTTTTAACTCACATTTACAAACTTTGCAAAGAAAAACTGGTACAGAGAGTCCAGCAGTGTTCTGTTCTCTGCCTCTCTTCCAACCCACGTTTCATCTGCTCCTGGTTCAGGAAAGGACGAGAAGGTCCTTTGGGGAGGAGTCTGCTTCTTGCTGAAGTGTACACTAGATGGCAGACTTTCTTTAGTATCAAGGAATATAGTATTTGGAAAATGACTGGAGCTTCTTTGAGTTTACTGGTAACTTCCTATTTTATAAATGATAGGAATTTAGGATGTGAAAATAGCTGGTCTGGAGATCTCCCAAGTCAAGGAGGACTAGTGTCCGGTCAAGACACTAGTCTTGAGGGTGTGTTTCCTCTTGTAATAAGTCTTGTTTGAAATAGCAGCAGCACATTTAGGAGTGGGGTAGTTGCAAATACTATGACACTTTAAAATAGATGACCTTGTCGTTGATGGTGGTGCTTGGTAGAGTAGGCAAGCCTTGGTATGGCACCAGTTCTCTCTCCTGAGTCAATAAGCCACTTCCTCGTGTCTTCTGCCTCCTGCTGGAACTGAGGAAGGGGACACACCCAGGTTCTCGTGGGACATTTTGGGGAACATCGATGTGGCACCTTTTTGTTCTGGTGCGGGGGATGGGATACACTGTGGAGACTCAGTGACAATACCTAGTTATCCAATTTGGTGATTTAACCTAGTTGCACGGAGAACATTTTAAACATTTAAGAGACAGAGATTCCTCTTATGTAAATTTTTTTGTGGAAAAAACTTGTTTATGAGGAGGCCATTTAAAAATGAAAATATGGGAAGGGTCAGAATAAGCAAAGCCTACCAACTCATTTTTTAAAAACCCCAAAGCACATTTATGTTATAGGAAACAATTCCTGAAAAGCATAAAGACATTTGAAAATAGAATGTTTTTCCAAAACTGTAAAAATAGAATTCATTTGTGTTTTCTTGTGAGTATTCTATAGAGTTTTAGGTACTTTCTCTAGTTTTTAATATTGGCGTTTACTATGAATTTTACCTTTTGCATAAGTAGCTTTTAGATACTGTGTGCGCAGTGTTTTAAGACATTGAAGCAAGACACTGCCCGGACAGACCTCCTTTCGTATTTCATAGTTTAAACGAAGGCCAGGTGTTTCTTTTCTAGTTTTAATGTTTGGAATTTAATCTGACTGCATAGAACCCTGAAATGAACTCTGGAGGGATTAACAGGCCTCCACAAAGACCCCTTTCCAGTGCAGGACGAGGTTAGAGATGCCCACTTGCCCTGTTGCGCTGGCCAGCTGCTGGTGGTGGACACATGGCAGAATGCACGGCTTCTCTCTCCTGGATTTGGTTAGCAGTTTGGACACACTTGAGCATTTTAGTTGTTTCCTGTAAAGAAAAATAAAGTTACATGGAGGATGGGAAACTCAGAGCAGTGCACTGAAATGCGATTGTGCTTTTTCTCTTGAACAGGGAGACGGGCGGTGAGGAGCTACAACTCGGTGGCACAGCTGTCCTCGTGCGACCTCTGCCGCGATGTGCAGGGCTGCCTGCCCTGTAAGGACAGGGCGCCCGGCGCCCTCCACTCTGCCTCGGTCACGGTTGTTCTCTGCTTCACGGTCCTGTGCTCTTTGCTGCGGGGGTTGTGACTCCACGGGACACTACCATTTCCAGAAGTCACATGTGATCGCTCTGACTTGTGAAAGTGACTTTCTCCTTCCTGTGGGCCGTGGAGGGTGTAAACAGGCCCTGGTGTGTCACAACTGCACGGATCTCAGTATCCGAGCTCTGCAGCTGGATTCTTATTCTCCCCCCATGTCTTTTGGGATTTTTTTTGGAGGTGTTTGTTTTCTCTGGAATAAAAGTGTTATTTTAGAATAGTTATTCTCTTCGTTTTATGAAAGACACGAGCCTAGGTTCTTAAGCATGATTGTGCATATATGTCTGCTTCGAATGAAAGATGGATGACCCAGGGAACGGGAGCACGCCTGCGGGTGGACTTGCTGTCTCTGCCACCTCCAGCCTGATCCCACCGTGATCCCACCGCACCAGGGTCTCAGCATTTACTTGTTGGCTGGACGTGACTCTGTGGCTTTTATAATGTGGGTGGTGCATTTTGTTTTGAGTGAACTAGTCTTCTGCTCCAGGTCTGTCCACATTTTGACCTTCCTCTCCCTCTCTGTCTGCCAGTTGTGGTTCTCCCATATGGCTGCTGGCTCTGGGTTGAGGGGAATTCTCAAGACCACCCTGAGGGCTCCTGGTTGTGCCAGCCTCCCATACCCTCGTCCACACACTGCCTCTGTTTTGGGGTGAGACTCAGAGCACTGCAGTCTGGGCCTTGTGTGACTTGGACTAGAAGGTACTAGACCAGGAGACACTGTGAACCAGGGGGTGTCACAAAACTCCCTGTAAGTCACAGCCGTCAGACTTCCTGCAGCCTAGGAAGGAGTTGGGGTGGCCGAGTCTGAGAGTCCCACATGGCTGCTGGCCTCAGGCATTGCGGTGTCTGCCAGGGAGCCTAGATACTCCTTCACTTGGGTCTGAGTATAGTCTGCCGCTGTCTGGTGATATCTGATGCTTGCTGTGAATCTTGAAGAGGATTCTGGAATTCTCAGCACCTCACTCATCTATTACCCAGTGTTCTGAAGGGTCATATAATTTATCCAGGTGAAAATGCTAAAGAAAAATCCCTTTCTTCCCCCTTCCTTCTTTTCCTCTTTCTTTCTTTCCTTTCTTCTTTTTTCTTAACTATGCCAAACTCATTTAGATATATAAAATTTAGGGCTCTTTGACTAACTCTAAGTAATGGTTTAATTTTGCTCTTCAGCTCCATGGCCTTTCTCCCAAGTGCACATGGAAAAAAAGTAATTGCTATGGGCTCCAAAGAGTTTGCTTTATCATATTTTAATTTTTATTATTTTGTTTTATTTTTTGAGTTGGAGTCGCATTTTGTCACCCAGGCTGGAGCACCGTGGCATGATCACAGCTCACCATAGCCTCAATCTCCTGAGCTCAGGCAATCCTTCTGCCTCAGCCTCTGGAGTAGTTGGCACTACAAAGGCATGCCATTACTCCTGGCTGGTTTTTTGATTTTTTTTTGTTGTTGCGACAGTATCTCACCATGTTGCCCAGGATGGTCTTGAACTCATGGGCTCAAGAAATCCTCTTGCCTTGACCTCCCAAAGTGTTGGAATTATAGATGTGAGCCACTGCACCCAGCCTTATTTTCAGCTATTTAAAAGTTAAAAAAATACAAAAATAAAAATAAATAAATAAAAGAGTGAAGTACGCAAGTATATCTTTTAAAGGTGATTTTAAAAAGAATGCCCTTGTTTTGGTGACTTTTAAAAAATTATAGCAGAGTGGATAGTCACGTATTGTTTATGGCTATTTTGGATACCAAGGTAGGAATAACCAATATTTGGTATTTTAAAGCTTATAAACCTATATGTAGAAAACAAATCCTCAGGGCAACCCCCTCGGGTCTCCTCCCACTGTGAGGGCTTTTCTGTGTTCTCAATAAATTCTACTTTCTCAAAAGAAAAGAAAAGAAAATAGATCCTCAGAGAGCAGTTAAGTATCAAATGTGTGATTTTCTTGCATTTATTTTATTTTTAAGTGAGCCTCCCTGTAATGGTGCTTTCAACCTTTATTCTCTGGACTTCTTTAGAGGTGAAGTCGTCTTATGATGAAGTTGGGGAGGGTCCTGGCAAAGGATACCTCCTCTGCCCACCCAAGGAGCCTTACACGACCAGCCAGTCCCTGTGTTCTTCCGTTCATTCTTCAGAGTGGACGTATAGGGTGGTTTATTAGGAGGCACTAGAATGAGAAGGCATGGGAAGACAGGGTGTATCTTTTTTAGACCTGATTTCCTCAATTAAAAACTAGAATCTGGGTACCTTTTTGTGAAGTATTCAGATTTTTTAAAATTTAAATTGTATTTTGAAAAAATTTTATAGAAATGAGTTCTCACTATGTCTCAAGCGATCCTCCTGCTTTAACCTCTCAAAGTACTTGGATGACAGGTGTGTGCCACCGTGCCTGGCAACTTCAGGTTTTCAAGTTAAAAAGTCACCTTGTAGCTCATCTCTTTTTATTTTACGATTTATTAGACATCAGAGGAAGGATGTTGAGGAAGAGCAGGAGAAAGGATTAGTTGGCACTGTCTCTGGGTGCATAGGGCTGTGGAGATGTCTTGGTCTCTCCCTCTTTTATATCTGTCTTAGAGAACTCGCTTTGCTACGAGCAGTGGGCTTCGGGTAAAAGTGAGTGAAAAGCCACAGACATGGGACAAAAGGGGTCTCTGTAGGGGTGAGAGTTGGTGGCGTCGATTATGCTCTTCACAAGCTGTGAGTAATGCCCTTAGAAACTCCGTTTTACCTTTGCTTTGGCTATGTGGAGGCTCTTCTGTTTAGAGCACTGCCAGTCTCATTTCTTGGATGAACTTGAGTCCCCCTTCTCCAAAACCGGGAGCCTCATTATGACACATGGCATCGCTCACTTCCCTCTGTCCGGCTAGTGGTTCCAGAGGCTGAATGCTGGGAGTGCACCGTAGCCATTTGGCTTCACAATCATACTGCCTTTAGTTAGTAGTCTGAAAACAAAATTAAAGCCCACTGAAATATGCCTGGTCAGTGACATGCTCCTTTCATTGTGTTGTTCTATTGCACTTTGTTTTTCAAAATACTCTAATCACAGAATCTTTGGTTAACTAGGTTGGTTGTATTCTACTCTGAGTAGTGTTGTGTTCATATAGAATCCAGATGTACTTCTGGGACTGAGTAGCTTGTTCCTTATGTATGCAACATCACATCCTACATGTGGGAGTTTTCAGAGTTATAGGTAACAGAAATCTCTCTGCTCCTATTCTTGTGAGCCTAGGTATGGTTATTATTTTTTTTTAATTCATATTTAGCTTTGCAATATGATGTCAACTATGTTTATTTTGACATAACCTAGTTATTTCATTTGGCATTTCTGGCTGTTCCATAACTTTGTTTTTTTGTTTTTTTTGTTTTTGAGTTGGAGTCTCACTCTGTCGCCCAGGCCGGAGTGCAGTGGCCACTTCCGGCCACCGCAGCCTCGACCTGCTGGGCTCCGGCGATCCTTCTGCCTCAGTCTTCTGAGTAGCTGGAACTACAGGCACGCTACCACGCCTGGCTAATTTTTTGATTTATTATAGAGATGAGATCTCACCAAGTGGCCCAGGCGGGTCTCGAACCTGCGGGCTCAGGCAATCCACTCACCTCAGCCTCCCAAAGCGCAGGATTACAGGCTGAGCCACCGAGCGCGATGGTGTTCCATGACTTTTATAGGCAAATCGGAACTATGATTTTTCTTTGTCTTTTTTTTTTTTTTTAAATAAAAGAGCTATTTTTATTAACCTGCTGACATATAATCTGGATTTCTTTGTGACAACTTAACTTTTCTAACTTACTTTATTGAATGACTGTCTACTCATTTCTGTAAACATTTGTTGTAAATTCTTCCTTGGTAAGATTTCGCAATGGAAGGGCAGTGATGATTTGAATCTGCCCAGTGGCTGCCATGAGTCAGGTGCCATTTTATGTTCCTGGGTGCGTTACTTTCTTGCACACTAGGTTTAAGACGCTTGTAGTAGGTGGACTCAGAATGGTTACGTCCTCAGTAGAGACTTCTCTACTGAAGATGACAGAAGAGCCTATTCCTCGCTGTTCTTTGTCTGCAAATTCCAGCAAGGCATAGTCTTGTAAGAACTTAAAATGTGGCCGGGCTCGGTGGCTCAGCCTGTCATCCCAGCACTTTGGGAGGCTGAGGCGAGTGGATTGCCTGAGTCCATGGGTTCGAGACCAGCCTGGGCCACTTGGCGAGACCTCATCTCTACAATGTATAAAAAAAAATTAGCCAGGCGTGGTAGCATGCACTGTCGTTCCAGCTACTTGGAAGGTTGAGGTGGAAGCATAGCTGGAGGCCGAGGTGGCTGTGAGTGTGTCACTGCTCTCCAGCCTGGGCAACGGAGTGAGACTCCAACTTAAAAAAAAAAACAACCAAAAACTTAAAATTTTCCTATCATGTATTCAAAATATATTTATGTTAATATTAAATGTCTTTTAAAAGCCCCTTTTAAAGGACAGTATCAAATATCTTAAGTCACATTGGGAGTAGTTTGAGGTGCAATTACTTTCATCACTACTTTGAACAGAAGACTATTACCCTGCTTTCTCCAGTAAACTAAGCAGGGATGTAACTTTTTAAATTAAGTATATATCAGAGAGGGTAGGCCTGTTTCACAGCTATTTCTAACCAGTGAGTTGTGATACCATCAAAAGATGGTATCACATCACATCATTTTATAACATGTTGTCATTTTCATTTCAGTTTTAACATAGGAAAATAGATGTTTCTTACTTCAAAGGACACTTACATATTGGTATGCATGTGTCTGCACTAGGGACGATATTGACATATATGTTGCTACATATTTGAGGATAATCCATCTCATGTTGTCACGAGTCCAAGATGTGACACTTTGAGGCCTCGTGTATTGAACTGGTGGTAGAAGGTAGTTTCATGTTCCATTTGTGGATCTTTAAGATTTTATCTTTGATAACTTCAGTTAAATGTGGCTTGATTCCGGTTCTTCAAGCCTTTATGCTTTGGACTTCTAGTAGGGTGTAGCCCGTGTGGAGTCAGTCTCTTGAACGCAGGAAGCTTTACAAAATTTCACTTACAAGTCCCCTGTTTGGGGAGCGTGTTTTGCATATGAGAAGAATACTGTTGAAATAAATGTTATTTTTCCAGGAACGACATCTTTTTATATTGGCCAAGGTGATTCTGAAAGTTTTAATTTTTTAATGTTGGAATGTAATGTTATTGTTATCTGTACTCTGTTATACATTCA